GGATATAATGTAGGTTGCATTTTCACTAGGAGACTATAGTAAACTAATTACACAAACAAGTCTCTCAAATATGAACAGGTCAAGTCATTGGTTAATGTCTGATGTGATAGAAGTGGACAAAGATAATCCACACTTAAATTTGCATATTAGAAAAATACACCAGTGGTCATAAATCTGATGCATTGCTGTAGATACTAATAACTATTCAACTCTTAAACATAAGGAGGGTTTTTTTGCTCCTGTAATTGTCAGTTTTCATAGCTTCAAGATTTCCTTACTATATAACTGCACAAACTGCTTGAGAGCACTTTGCTTTTCACACAAACTACAGTCTGAGAAATCACTTACATGTGCAATCCACTCTACAGCTGGTTACTTCAAACTTTCCTTCATCAAGCAAAATAATTTTGATTTGTTGCAGTTAGTTTTCATTATCTCCTGACTCTGAAAAGGATACGTTGTCAAAGATTTAGTTAAGATTAGTGAAAAACTGGTAATTCTTCTTACTTCTATTTTGAAGAGTAATTCTAGCTAAATCTAATTAGGATGGCCTTCAAAGTAAACCCTAAATAAACCATCATAAAAGCAAAAATTTAAAAAAATTTAATCCTTTATACACCCCTCACTTCACCAAACTAGTGCAAGTTGACACATAGACAAGACCTCAACAACTTAAGAACACTTTGAAATTAGTTTGGCTAATCAAAATTAAGACACTAGCTTGCCCTAGACACCTTAGAAAATACAGCTCGCTCAAAACAAGCTGGACCAGCCAGAACAGAGAGGTGCACTGGGAACAGAAGGGCACAAATAAAGACGAGACTGAATTGGAGAGAGGTTTGGGTTTGTTTTAAATAACCACACCACTTCAGCACTGAAAGCCAATGGGAATCTGTACAGATGAAAAACCAGGAAGGCAGTTTATAATGTTACTGCCCCCACAATCTCCATTTCTACACAAATAGTTGCAATTCAGTATTAATAAGTTACCAAGCTGAGTTTTCTGAACTGTGAATCAGTCTTTTCCTTAGGGAGAAGTTTCTAGTAACGTTAAACTTTTTCATGAAGGTGAAAGGGACTGCTCTGAGAAATGAAGCAGCACAAGGCATGGCATTTCTGTTGTGGGAAGCCAGAGTTCAGCATGAATAGACATTGGCCATAAAGCACAGCATCCACCTTTGGGACCTGACAGACTCTCCAACTGGGAAATCCATACTCCTAACTCCAGCCGGGCTGGGCTGCGGGTGCTCCTTCACAGGCTTGGAAGGTGCTCAGGCTGCAGGTGCTTCCTGCACCAAGTACCTCCCCACACATCTACCCAGAACACTGAGGGAGAAAAAGAGACGGTGTATCTGCAAACCTCACAGCCCTATCCCAGTTCTTCCCATGATGAAGGTATATGTACAAATTAATCCCTCATTTTTCAGTTAAATCCTTCAAATTTTTAAATTAAACAAGTTCCAAGACATTTAGTAACAAAATTGAAAGAATTACTCAGACTCATATTTTTGCCCTTTATATACAGGTATTTCTTGAGCATGTTGCATCAAAAATAATAAAGATTCACAACATTCTCATGTGTGCATGGTGTTGAGAAGAATTTTAATTTTCTGAGTTTTTGGTATCACAGAGAATTTGTTTGATACAAGCTACCTTATTACACAGGGAAAAAATAATTTACAGTGTTAAAATACAGCAAATTAGGGTGTTTGCAATTTGTGAACGAGACATTATCACTAATACAAGCTTATTCCTGGAGGAAAAAAAACCACACCTATTAGTGTAGTCTTCAAAATAATTAACACAGGATTTTTAGACAAGTATTTTGAACTATTTTTTATAGTAAAAATCTTGTCTATTTTTCAAAGACCTTAACTACCTGGTAAGAAGATACTATTTTGATTCTCACCAAAATTTAACTAAGTTAAATTCATCATTCATGTGTCCTCAGACACTCATCCATCTGGTTTTAGGTACACAAAACCATTAGTACCAACAAAGGCTGCGTTAAGCCTAGCTATATAGCATCTTTCTGCACCTGAAGCAAGCAGAATTGGTACAAATTGCAGACTTTAGCACCTGACAATGCTTTACTAATTCTATTGTAGTTTCCATTTTTACACAAAACGGATTAAAACCTGTTAAAAATCTTCACTTGTACCTTTGCGAAAGATTCAGCCATATTCTTAGTAACGCTGTTATTTAAGTAAGGAGTGCTTAAAAAAAGACTCCATTCTCTAGCCAACTGCATTAACAAAATTAGATTCCCCATTATTTCAGTCTACATTTAAACATGCTAGGAATTACCTTGCTTCACTGAGAGTAAAAGGGAAAGGAGCCACTATTCAGCTGCAGGTGTTAAAAATACTCTAGAATCCAATTTGTCTCTAGAATCCTAGAGACAAAGTAAGTCTCAACACACCTGTAAAGTGCAGAAATTGAAGATTCAGTGAATTTCTGTACTGCGTCTGAACAGTGAAAAGGTTCTGCATGATCCATTTTTACTATGACACACCACCTTCAAACAGGTTCAGACATTTAAATTAATTCAAAATTAAATTTTAAATAAATGAAATTATTGCCATTTCAGAAACAAGTATAAGGCAGCTGACATTTTAGCAGTTGCCCACAAATTCAGAAAGGAACTTTTGCATTACAAACCTAAGTTTTTGTCAAAGGACTATTTCAATTTTTGAGTGAAGTTGTTATTTTAAGATTCTCTATTGCCTGACAAGACAATCAAGTATCATCTCAATAACCCTGTCAACAGTGAAGATGGTAGGAAAGCATGAATACCTGGTGGGGGCACAAGACGACAGGACATCAGCTAGAACTCTAGAATACTCAGTATACAGTAAACTACAAAGACATTTCGGGGACATCTCTTGGGAGTCCACTACATATAGGAAAGTTTATCATTAGAATGACTTACACAAAAAAAGCCTTATTTCACCAGGATCAACTTTAAAAGTACTTACTGCTTTTTAATCTGTGGAAGAGCATACCTATGCTTCTGAAGTGACCAGAACATTGACTAACCATCTTTTAGTTTAGAAGACCAAGACATTCTTCAGCCAAATGCTATCCAGAGAAATTTTTTACTTTGTGGTCTCTCATAGCTCGGCTCTTTGAGATTGCAGACTTGCATTAAGGATGGTTGTAATGCATGAACTGTAAACATGGATCAGTTAACCTAAACAGCAATGGAAATCTCTTGAAATCATTTAAGTATGCGTCGTTCAGTTAAAGACGGGAAGAAGAGAAGGTAATAAAATTAAGCTGGAGTCATCAATACCTAAGCTTAAGACAAATTAAGTCATTCAGGTGTTTCCAACCCTCTTCTGTACAGTGTTTGACAGTGAAGTCAAACTCACCCATTTTGCTGCGTTCATCACTTTGCCCCTGCAGGCTAAAAATGCATTCCCAGCAAGAGTTCTTTAAATAAAAAGCAAATCCTTTAAATGAAAATTTAAATTTATTTTGAAATTTTAGGATGTCATTGCTATCAATTTAGACACACTGTTTGACATTATCAGATGAGAGAACTTACAGTGACTCACGGATAAAGATTTGGCTTTTACATTCAAATGTGAAGTACTTCAGAATAGCTTTGTCTTGGTATTTCCAAACCAGAAACACTAAAGAGCATTTTATTTTGCCTTTCGACCATCTTTGTTAATTAACATACTTTTGATATCTGCTGTACTTAAGAGGAACACGCGCAACACCAAAGGAGTTACTTTGTTTGAATGAAGCAAGTACCTTAATTACAGTTCCAGATTTAAGACTGGTTCCTTGTAGCATCAAAAGGCTGTGCTAAGTAGAAAGACAAGGTTTTTTTTAAAAAAACAACCCCAAAAAACACATTTTCTTCAGGTAGACTGCAGAGCTTGACCTACTTGGAAAGCCTCTTTAAGAAAATAAAAAGGTCTTACAGTCCAATGTTAACATCATACAGTCTTATAGTTTAGCAAGTTTTATCCAGTTTTCATAATTATTTTCAAAACAGTGTTGTAGAATTCCATCACTATTCCTAACACTATCCTTGTATTAGTGGTTAACAATGAAATTCAATTAATCTATCAGACTTAAAAATTGTGTTGATTTTACTGCTTACTGTAGTTTATTTTCCTACTCTCTCTCACTAACTTGAAACTGGATAAACAGAAAACATTTGCAGGGAAGAGATTTGATCAGTTTGCCCATTCTGGCAAGGAGAGTGCCCCTCAGGCACGTACAACGTAATTAACTGTTCCAAAGTGAACGTCAGACCACCACTCTCCAAGAGGGACAGCCTCCCACCATGCATCTTAAAAGTTTAGAACCCCTCCAGTTTGTAAAAACAACTCAAGCTCCAAAGCCCCGGAAAAAAACTTACAAATTTTAGAGTACAACTTTGACGATGTGCTGACACGGGGAATCTCATAGTAAGGTACTCACAGTTAAGGTTCCTTTGTATACACCCTAGTATAAGAGGCTGCTACTGCCTTCAGTCAGCAAGCAGCCCATCATGGAAGATCTGGGACCACAGCAACAACTTTGTGCTAGAGTCAAGCATTTGTAAGATTAACAAATTAGGGGCTGGGGCAGGGGGGGGGAGGGTTGTAAGCAGAGCTTTTGTTTTGTAAGAGGAAAATACTTCTCAAGTCTCACGTAACACATTTTCTCCCCAACCCTGATTTTTCACTGTCTGATGGAACATCATTAATGGTGTGCCAGGAATGCTCTATCGCCTGATGCCAGAGGTCTGCTGCATTTCAAGAGTCACAGGCACATTCCCTGCTCAGGAACACAGAGCAGAAAAAGTGTGAAAGGTCTTTTATATTACAGTTTTAGAAGCCACGTAAGAAACATGTATGTAATTTTAATCCTCCCTGTTGGTAAAGTCTGTTAATCTAGTTAATCCAAAGGTATGATATGTATCTCAACACCCAAGGAAACAAGTGTATTCATAAGTCATTAAAGTATATAGAAAACTCAGTTCTGTCCTCTGATGCTGTTTTCAAGTTTGTTTTATTCACTCTTTTAGATGACTATAAATAAGTGTTTCCACTATGGAAAAGAAAGTTAGCACAGTACATTTTCATGACTGGGGAATGGATTTTCTGAAGACATCTTCAAAAGGGCAAAAGCTTAGAAAAAACAACCTGAACGTTTAATTCAGTTCCTTATAAAGTCCCTTGTAAAAATTAACAAAAAAAAAAGAAAAAGAAAGAAAGAAAAAAGTAAAGGAAAAACTGCAAGGCCCAGGATGATTTATTGCTTTTCTTCAGTTTTTTCCTTGGTCTCTTTCTTCTCAGATTCTTTGCTCTCTTCCTTCACAGAAAGCTCTTCTAGTTTTTCAGCAACTTTATCAGCACTATCATTTTTGTCTGTGCCTGCTAAGAGATTGATTAAGAAAAAGGTTACATACAGGCAGTAATGGATTTTTCTGTTACAGAGAAAAGAGTAGAAGTGGAGGGTGAGAGGTATGGGGAGAGACAGCTAGCATTAAGAACAAAAGTAAAGAAATTCTTCACTGAGCACTGGAATGATTAATTCAATTCCTTTTCCTTTGGAAGTTATCACAGATGTCAGAATTCAAGAAATACCACTTGCTTATTTTAATCACTACATGATGGTCTAATCATAGTGACCGAGAAACATGTAACATTTGGTCAGCTTTGCTGCTACCAGTAACAGACTCCATACAGTGTCCAGTCAAGTAAACGTCTCAAGTCCCTACCTTCTTGCCTATCTTAACCAACAAACCAAAAGTCAAGTTCCCCAGTTTAAAACTGGGGAATAGGAAGTTCTTAAGATTGAAAAATTCCAATCTAAGTATCTTGAAGAGCATTGACTGCAGACCACTAGTAATCTGTACTTTAGAAAGATAGTAGTGTTTATTTTACATGGTGAGATACCTTGTGACATAGTAAATTCTATGAGGCAGTGCATTAATCTATTAAATAAAGAGACCTGTGAAGAAAGGCTACAACTTCATACAAGCTAACAATTATAAAAACTAAGTATTTTACTTGCATGATTATATATTTGTGGAATTTGGGAAGGGGAACTGGAAGGATATATCACTGTGGTTGCAGTGTTCACGGTTCACTTGTGTACTATAAACCCACAAACACTTCCTTAGCCTTTCCAAAAAAGCAATGTCCCAACAGCAGTTGTAACAGCCTTCTACAAGAAAGAAGGCAATTATCACTCCTGTGAACTATTACTCTTGCAGACAGAAAAAGTACCTGAACTGAAGACTGCAGTTCAGTACAGAGTGAGTCTGCTAAAACACAATGATACTCTAGGGGTCTATAACCACGCAAACTGCTAAAGAGTGGCGTGGTCCTGCACTTAAACTTTTAACCTTACCTTTCTTTGCTCTCTTGTCTACTTCATTCCTGCATTCTTCAAATTTTGCCTTGAATTTCTGTGCATCTGTTTCAGTAAAGATAGAACATTTTTTCATTAGTTTTACCTCCTTTTAACATTGAATACTTCCGGTATTGAGGACAGATTCCCAAGAAGTTTTGCGTAAACAAAACTTGTAGGCACTTAGGAGTAATCTAGTTTAAAAATCATACAAGATGACATGCAAAATTCTTGAATCACCTCTTTGCGCAGAAGCAGTTTATTTTCTTTAGCATGTCTATTAAAGTAGCTTATTTTGCAAAATACTTAAAACATAATTCCAGAAGGGACTGTTTTGTAGTTGTTGCAACTTCCAGCTGTCCCTAGCCTACAGGAATAAGAATATGATGTCAGAGACTGCTAATATGACTATCTGTGTGCAAAAGACTAAAGATTAGCTTTGAACTACTATCCTTGTCAGCTACATTATACCCAAAAAGATGTCCACATCCTTACCATAACTTAGAGCTCTTAGCATCAAGAACAGAAGATAAAGCCTGTTTCATTAGTACAGCATTCATATTCCATACCCAAAGGCCTGGACTCAAGCTATTCCTGACTACAATAGCATAGGAAGCATAACCGTCATTATGTTTTGGTCTAAGCCACCACTTGATTTAACAGTCATTCCAAGCAGTTGATGAAGTTAGAGTAATGTTTCTACACAGTAATACAAGCACCGAGACACAAAAGTGGATCAGGCAAGGTACCTTCTAACACCAGAACGATAAAGAAGGTAATTTGGTATACCAACTCGGTCTGACTGACCACACGAGGCCACTGTTGCCCCACAGGACCTTCAGAAGCCACTATGAAACTAGTCCAGGAAGTATTTGTATCGATTCCTTTTCAAGCATCTCAAAAAGGAAAGTAGTTGAAGGGCATACTTATGTCTGTTCACCTCTCACCTGTTTAGTCAGTACTGCAAGGGGTAGACAAGCAAAAAGGACTTCTCCCTCAAGACAAAACACTCAATAAGCTGAACAACCTCTACCAGAAAGAGGGAAAGGCTTTTCAAAGATGAGCAAATAGTTACCAAAACTCTTCAATTTCATATTTGATTAAGAAAGAAGCAGCACTATGCAGGTGGATCACAAAGATTCACTTGGCTAAACAATATCATGTTGAAGACTTGAAGAAAAGGAAGCAAGCAAGATATACTAAGTTCTTCCCAGATGTAGGCAAATCCATCTAGTTTTAAAACATACAGCCACTTTATTTGCCATCTAGCATGCAGGGAGATGAGGTGGCTAACACACTAAAGTTGTGTGGGAAATGGTAAAGCAGGAAACAGCAACATTTTTCCTCTTCCATTTTGCTTTGTTTTTCCAAGGAAAAAAAACACTTGGATTCAATCCTAAGGAGTTGGGAAAGCTACACTATCATTCAGCTCTACTAGTTGATCCGTATATAATTACAGACCTACTTTCTGTTCTGGTAGTCAATGCAGTCACTCCAGAAAAACCCACCAACTAGTAGGATAGTTGTGTTTGACAAGCACTTTTCACTGAGTGTTCCATTTAATCAAAACAAAGAAGATGCTACATACTTCATTAAAAAAAAAAAAAAAGAGCCACAAACAAAAATCGTATGTTCTGCTAATACAGATGGACCAGAAATCTCAGGTCAGTATTTCCTTGCTTCTAATGCAAAAATGTTACCTTAACTACAACTGAGCACCTGAGATAAATGAAAGCAAGCTGCATGTATTAATCTCTACGCCATAGTATTACTGCTTTTAGTTTTATTCTAATTGGTATTACACTTGCATGAAATGGTTTAAGTAAAAAAAAAAAGTGCCTAGGGCAGAAAGCTCTATAAATATCACTGGAGACCTGATTATTACACTATTTGTCAACACATACGGTTAAGAGATTAACTCACTTCTCTCAGCTAAAGCAGTAATTAGCTAACACTACCATGCAGTGGTAAGATATAGCATATCTACAACAGTGGTTTTCAGTAGAGTTTAGACATGTGGAGTAACATAACAGTATACAATCAATGCAAGTTCAGTGCCAGTCCACTCACTCTCTGCATTTAAAAATCGGATTGCCAGAAGTTCAGGCTTGGGGCTTTCATCTGCAAAGTCAGCATGTGTGTTCCAGACCCATGCCCTGTCGCTCCCAGCATTAGGCTTCAGCTCCATTAAGGGTGTGACTGAAAAGAAAGCATTAAAAGATGTACACAGCACAATAGTAAACGTTTTCCACACCAGCCCCCATAAATCTTATTGACAACTGACTGTGACAGTTACATAAAGCACTTTACACAGAATTACTTTTGAATAAATAAAGACGATGGTGCCCATATATATTTTTTCTTCTGTCCTCAAAATGATGAGAGACCATTACTGTATAAAAGAATGCTAGATTCCCTATTGTTAAGAAACTGAGAGTTTGATTCAATTCTTGTTTAAAACAGATGACTATGATGCCAAGAGAGATGCAGTCACTAAGCAAAACTCTGAAGAACAGTCAAATGGTTTAGGAGAAAAATGCATCCAGACAAACAGCATTTGTTCTTCTTTTGCACACTGAAAATACTACATTACAAACAATTATTTTTAAAAAAGCATTATTCCTACAATTAGTCTTCAAATTAATTTTCAGGGTCATTTCTCTCCCATCAGTTTAAAGCTCTGCTACAAGGTATTACAGAGTTCTATAATGCTGCAAGATGTGCACAGCGTATTTTCAGCCTATTTGTTCCTTCCCAGTAAATGGTGCCCTTTCCCTCCAAGACACTATAATTACTTCACCTGACTGACTGGAGAAGTTGGAATGTTACTTTTCACACTACACTAAGACTTCTTATATTACACATGTGCAAAGTTTAAGCAGGGCTTTTTTTCTCCCCAACCCTTGGGTCCTTCATTTAGTTCAGCAGAAATACGAAGTATACTCACTTTCTGGCATTTTTAGTTTAGAGATCAAATTACATTTTGTTTCACTTAATGTTTTGCAAAAATGAAAAAAAAAAAAAAAAAAAACAACTTTTGGCATGAACACTATAAATTTATCAATTCTGTTTTGCATATGCACAGCATTTATTTTCCTAAACAAAAGGTTTATTCTTATTGGTTGGTGACTACACTGCTTTCATATTTGGCAGTTCATTTACTAAACAGGAACACCTGTGTCCTCTGAATAGTCTGACTTTCTGAAGAAAGCTATCCAAAGAAAACAAGCATTTTTGCTTGACTTCAAATTTGTATTAAGCTACTTAAGTTATTTCAAGTTACCTAAATGTAGTTTAACTCCACAGAATACTACATACTCTTCATACAAAAGCGGAGTATTACCAAAGCAAGCAAGTAACAAAGTATTACCAAATTAGTCTACTTGTTGCTAGTCATATTGCCTTTCAAATCTGTCTTGCCCTTTCAAGTTTATTTTTATTCAGAGGATCAAAGGAACAAACCTCTCCTGCTCCATCAGTTCTCAATACGCATTCTTTTTGAATGAGTTGGCTGAATATACCACATTCATTTCAGTTTATTACACAAGCAGAAAAAGGCAGCCACAGATTAGTTTAGTACCTCAGTATCTGTTTTCTGATGGTTAAGCAATTGCTTCTACCAATTCAAATGTTGAGCTCAAAGTAGTAAATTATTACGACTGCTTATTTAGCATTCTTTTTATGAAAAAAAGCCAGCATACATTGATTTCTTATCCTAAACAGTATTAAGACCTACATTGTCTACACTTGATTAATCATTATAACTGCCCCTGCCCCGAGAGCAATCACACAATGTGTCTCCATCCCAGCTAAATTTTAAAGTGTCTTTAGAACACTACCAGAGACTGAAGAAAAAACCCCCAAACTTTAAGACTCAGCCTTGCAGGCAATCATCAAAACCAACTAGAACTTCTTTCCACTAATAAAAATAAGCACTCATCACGTTTGATGCTTGTAGCCTGGTGTGCAAAGCAAGAGACAACTGCATTTACATAAATTTGACGTCAGTTTAAAGACATACAGCAATTCTCTAGCTGCTGCTGGAAAGACACTGAGGTCTTAATCTACAATGTACAATTCTACAAGCTTATTTTTTAAAACAAAAACAAAAAGCATAGCAATGTATAACATACTGTAATGGTTTGCACAGATTTTTAGGGTTTTATCCCTCCTCATGAGGAGGCGAATTGTTCCCTTCTCCTTGTGTTTTAGGAGTTTTACATCACCGGTTCCTCGTTCTTTCCATTCTGGAAGGTCATTCTCAGATGCAAATCGGAACAGCTTTGCTCGCCTTGAACAAGAGAGAATTTAAGAAGTTAGCCTGCATGTAGAAACATTTATTGAAACAGCAGTTGTTTTTTTAAAAGCCACACACAAGGAAGAAAACAATTCCTTCTGTAAGGTTCCCTGTTCTACTTCAGCATACAAATTTAGAGACTGGTATGATAAATTCAAATATAATAACACGCTATTAGGAATTGTGTAATAGCTATACTAAAATTCAACAGGTTTAACACACTTTTGTATTCGGACACACTTTAGGGAGATGATAAACAGATCTGTTGTAGGCAACCTTTTAAATTAAGGTAGCTAATTAACAGGTTTTGCTATAGCTAGAGTTCTTATATACATTATGAACACAAGTGCTCCATCTAACCAGCAGTATTTATTAATTCAAGAAATTGAGCAGGTTGAGGCTAAGTAAAGACTCTCGTATAATTCCAAGCCCAGCATTTGATCAACTGTTAACAAAGTGCCTCACCCTCTAGAGTCACTCATTTCCTCTTAACTCCAAAAACCTAGTTGTTGCTATTCTTAAATCAGGAATAAAGGAAGCGTAGTGCTGCACTGCAGTGCAACATACCTGTTTCAGAACACCACTGTTTAATCTTCCAAGATGCCAGTGTGCCAAAAGAGAAACAGGAGTAGTTTGGGACATTAGTCAAAACTGACCCAAGAGACAGTCTGAGCTCTGCTAGTGAGGCGTTTAAGACACTGCTATAGGAAAGGAAGCACCTGCTCACACTACAGGATATATATGAAAATATACTTTTCTACAGATGAACAAGGGATAGGGACTTGTAATAATCCGGGTCCTTCAAGAGAAGGTGTCAGATGTTACAGCAAGCTACTCTAAACAGATGCTCTGATGCAGACAAACTACTTTCTTCTAAAGCAAGTAGTCCGGCTGGCACTCAATAGGCGATTTCCCCAAGTTAAACTATCAGAACCATCAGCATTCAAAAAAAGGATTCCTTTCCTCTTTCACCCCTTTTTAGACATAAAAATGAATCTACAGACCACTAGAACTTACACTATTGTTTCCCCTGCTCCTTTTTAAAGAAAAATATTTCTTCTTTCCATCTGATACTGCACATCACGTATGCAGAGAGGCCTAATGGTCAGGGATCTCACCGCGCTACTTGTCAGAAACAGACCATCGCTTTAGCTTTTACCAGAATCTGTATAAGGAGAACTCAAATCTCCCTTCCAGATGAACAATAACCATCTGCATTAAGTAAAAGAACTACTTTTTTAAACCTATTTAAAGCAAACACATCATGGATCAAATTCCAAACACTCCTTAAGCCTTTAGCCTACATGTTTCTTGAAGCAGATCACACAACTTAAGCAAGCTATCCTGATTTGACAATAAGCCCAGCCTAAGGATAAAATTGTTTAAGACAACAGAAAGATACTACCACAAATGCCTCAATATTCTACTGCATCTATTGCTTTCATTGTTTCAGTGTGTCATACATCACCCTTTACAACCAACGGGGGATGAACAGCAGCAACATTATATACATCTCATTGTTTTCCAATACTTGTTTTATACTGTGATCACACAAGTTCAAACCTCTAATTATTATCCAAGTTAATGTTTTCTTTAAGGCTAAACTATACTAAATCCAGATTTGTAATATCAGCTCACTTCTGTTTTTCCGGACTTCAGAGTTTCTTGGGACATTACTTAATTATCCCCCCACTGAATCTCTGCCACCACAGTAAACAACCAACTTAGATTACCACGTCATACACAGAGATTCCCAACAAATTATCTAGCTTTTTATAATCACTTTAGGTAATATACAGAAATATTCTACTTACATCTTAAAGAGTTCTTCCTCATCCTCTTCCAGAGTTTTTATTTCTTGCTCGGGAAGGGAAACTATGGGCTCAAATTGAGGATCATGGTTAGAATCATCTGCATTTTCAGTAGAAGTATCATGCTCCTCATGTGTTTCCTGGAGAGAGAGAGAAAAAAAAACCACCCAAAACTTGCTATGTACTTAAAATCTGAAGTACTCATATCTCGGTTTAAAATTAAAACATTTACGACTATTCAGCAATTAGATCTTCATAACTGAAATACCCTGTAACAATAAAGAAAAGTTATTATTGCTGAAAGCAAATGGCTTTAAAGCCAACATAAAATTATACTAAGAAAAAAACCCAACATGCTCTTGCAGTGCTAGATGTTTTAGTCCTACCACTCTTACTGTGCAGAGGCTTGACCTTAGAGAAATAGCTCTTGGTTATGGAAAAATAATAGCTTCAATTATTTTTCCTATATAACGTATTTCATGCTACTAAAGCACTATTCTTTCTTAGTGGCAAATGACCTATCATTAATGGGGAAAAAGAAAACACAACAGCAAAGCCACCACCTAACCCAGCTTCAGGGACACGTTACATTCAGAGCTTCATTATTCTAGTCTTACGTATTAGAATCACCCACAAAGACATTTTTGAAGCATAGTTGCAACACTCATTAAATAATTTAAGTTTTTTGCTTTAAGACTCTTTGGGGAACTTTAGGTTATGGATAAATGGCCAAAATACTACTTCCTACTTCGTTATTTAGAGATCTGTCATAGCATTCATTAAGCTTAAGAATTGTTTTTAGTATGTGACTAGTAAATAAATGATAAACATCCCTAATACTTCATATCATACATATGCACTGCTAAGAAGCATTCAGCAGAGAAGCCTAAAAGGGAGATTCATCTGCAAGTTTAATGAGGCCACAAACAGCTATCTTGGGTCAAGAGAACTAATTTGGGGTTTTTTGTTGTTGTTTGAATAACAGAGAAAGGTAAAAGTCTATACATTGAAGAAACTTAAATCCCATTTTCACTTTAGGGATGAAAGAGCCCACTCTCACAAGCTCTATTTTGAATATCCTTTACAGAGTAGGCACACACCACATGTGCATAAAGCAACTGAAATGAAGCAGTCTATTTTTAATAAATAATTAAAAAAAAAAGGAAAAAAGGGGCAAGAGGAAATTGGGTAACAAATGTTGCAAAATAAATTCTGGTTATGTCAACAACATCACATCAGCTATCATTAGTTTTATGTCCCCCGTGTTCCAGTATGTAAGAAGAAGCAAGAAAGACATTGTCACATCTGTTTTCAAGAAACAGAACAAGAAACATTGGCCAAACTTTTACATATTGTCTGCTCCAGTACCAAGTAGCACATCCCGTATCGTAGTTCGTCATCTGTTCTGCGCCTGGCCAGTTAATTACAGAAGCCATGAGAAAAGCACGATCCATCCACAAGAGCCGCACGTGAGAGCGCGTACATCCCGTTATCACAGCAGGATCCCGCCCTGCCGCGATATAAAGCACGTGAGGCTACTCCTCTCGCCGGGCCGCGGCACGAAGGGTTCGGCCGAGCTGGGGGAGGGGCGGGAAGGAGAGGGGAGGAGAAGAAGAAGAAAGGAGGGAAACGTGGAGAGAGATCACTCAAAAGCGCCCGAGCGCCTACGAGAGGCTCCGACTTCCTCACGCTTGGGAAGGGC